TATGTGTTTGATTTGTATCATACTTATTATATCAAGTACTTTTTCATGTTCTCCTTTTATAATATCATTCTTTATATGTGAAGACAATACTGCTAGAATCCTAGATTATATGTAAATTTTATTTCCAGTAATGAGAGTGTCATATAAATAATAACTCAAGATTGTTTCCTCTTTCTTTTTGTATTTAAGGTGGTATTGTTTCAAGGGAGAAACGGCGGACTTTTGGACTTAAAGTTACTTTAAGCTACTTCGATTTACTTCGAAGTACTTTAAGCTATTTCAAGTAATTTACTCTCACCTACTTTTCAACTTCACATTTACTTGAAGTTATCTGAAGTTACTTGTTCTAACTTTGTGCTACTTGAGTGATACTTTTAGCTACTTCAAGTCCGCTGTTTTCCCCTTGTGTTGTTTATTAAAAATTCAGTTTTTTGTATTTGAAATTAAATGAAATATACTGGCTACAATGTAGAAAATTAATTAACCTAGGCGTGGATTACTGACCGTAAAAATGACAAATATTGCTGTTATCACATCCATGGTGAATACAAAACAGGACGGTCCTGGTGTCCTGTCCTGTCCTGCCGCCCACCAGGACCGACCAGAGTATCAGGACAGGGCAGAAAAACTTGTCCTGTGCTCAGCTCTGGTTCCGAGCAGCGCGTTGGAAACAGCAACAAACGTTCCGAACTAGTCGATCGGAACATGTTCGTCTGCTTGTTTACAGCTCGTTCACCTATAGATGGCACTTTTTTCGAACTCGTTCGCCTGTTCCGAACGCGTTTTCTTTCCGTTCTCCTCGCCCTGGGTTACTATTATTTGAGAGCTTTTTTCCGTTCACAGAGGTGTATTTGTAAAATTTGTATACAATGTTAGATGATTCTATTTGCTCCGATATTTATTATTTCATTTTTAATGTTTAGTCGTGTTAATAAGATATTTCGGTTTGGTAAATGGATAAAGACAATATCATGTCTCAACCTGATCGTTTCAAATTATCAAAGATATTTTTTTCATACATCATTCTGCTGAAGGAAATTTATGGAATGGAGGATTCTCGATTGTTTTCGAGAGACAAAGGAAAGGAACTTCAAATTCAGTAGAAAGTTTAAAAAGTTTTGCAGATACCAAACAGCGAATGATAAGCGAACAGATTTTCTGCGAGATTTTATTGGCGCGCAATATTTGTATTTGACTTTCTGCCATAAACAAATTGTAGAACGCAGTTAAACTGTATTTTAGCCAGAATTTAACACACGATTCTAAAGAATTTTTCCGAAAATATTTCAAATTTTGACAGAAAGCCAGACATCCCAGCTTCTTTCTAAAGTTGAAGCTTTGAAAAGTCATCAGATTGTTTCTTGTTTTTGCTTGTAATTCTTACACTTTAAGTGCACAACATAATCGAAATATATTCAATGATAATATGAGAGATTTATTTAGTTCATAAGGAAAGATTCGTGGTACGATCTACTTTTTTACATTGAAGTTCAGAGCTAATAAACGTTTCTTCGTTGACAATAAAAAATAGGGTATCGAAAAAGTGAAAATTCACTTAAAACTAGACAAGATTCAAAAGCAGATCCGTTCGTATATCTGTTGACTTCACACAAAAAAAGAGAAGAAAAATAAAAAAATCTATCTAATAACAATATTTTACAAAATAGAAGAAAACGTTTTCATTAAACTAAAACTCATATTGAAAGAGATCATATGCTTGTGTTCTTTTAGAGTCCTTCAATATCTGATGTTTTCTGTTGATAAAATCGTTCTTGTAATGGTATATTATATCGAAAATTTTCGTTACATTCACTTATGGGCCGTTGATGACGATAATCAATATATTCTGATTGTTGATGAAGTGATTTTCTTGAATGAAACATGGTGGATTTTTGTTGACGTTGAACAGTAGCAATATTCGTTCTTGGCACTGAGATAGATGATGGAAGATCAAGCATTAAATGTTCATCACTAGCATCTTTTGATGGATTTAAAAAGCCAATAGAACGTGTCCACGAACTGTCATAGGATGGAGAGGCACATTCCGTATTGTAACGAATTAACATCCTCTAGAATCAATTATAAAGTACACGTAAATAATAAGTAACATTTGATATTTTAATTACTTGTCTATTTAAATATTCTGATTTAACTTTGTTTAATTGGCGAAAATGAAAAATACTTATGCAAATAGCACACAACTAAATAAATAAATAAAACAACTAGCATTTATATAATTCATCGTATGAATAGTTTTAAAACGAACTGAAACAATGAGACGAATAATCATGAGAAAAAATAGAATTTTCACTTGTTTCGATAGTCGATAAACCTAAATAATATGAATATATATTAGAGTGCATATCGAAATTAATACGAAGTAAATTGACTTGTTGTTGATATTGTCGAAGTGAAAGTATAGTAACAATACCATCAATAAGTAACATAAATATCATGACTATGGACCATAGAAATAAAAGCCATGATTTATTCTTAACAAATAAAATTAAGTTTCTATTGATTCTCTTTAATAAAATTTACTAATTGGATAGCACAAAGAAGAAAAATAGTTAGAAGAGCAATGGCAAAGTAAACACAAAGTGATATCCAATCAAGGAACATTGCCACTGAAGAAGATGTAATAGGCCATAGATGTGTCTCTTAAAACATAAACAAATATAGTTAGAATTCAAAGTTTATTATATCAATTTCATCCAGTTATGTGTACCATTATTGTCATTAACGAATGGCATTGACATCACTGTTGTTATATCAAGCAGAGTGTACAATCCACTGCTTGCATAGACAATCTAGACATGAAAAAGAAACCGACTTTAAGTTTATATTTCACTTTCGTTGACTTACGATGATTATTAAAGCAACGCTAATTGATAAAGTAGACCATTTAATTTTGTAACAAATCATATTGTGATAAGAAGTAGAAAAACAAGAACATACTGAAGGATCGAGTAAATCATTGATACCGGGTGTCATTATGATTTCTCTGTCAGCTGACAGACTTCCAACCAGAAAAAATGAAACAATAAAAATAAGAGAGTGTGTAAACGTGCCTAGATAAGTTTCTTCTTTTTCTGTCTGCTTCTTTCTCTTTCTTTTTTCCTGTCGATTTTACAGAATGATTCGAACTAACAGAAAGAGAAGATGAAGAAACGAAAGAAACTAACAAACAATTAGTAGCTACACTGCAGCCTGGATAGCATCGATATCAATGTAATAAACCAGTTAAATATCAAAACCTTTTCAATGAACATATTTTTGTTTATTATTGTTAAACATTTCTAGTGTATCAATAGTAAAAACGATGGTTATCATAGTATTTATAGAAAACAAAACAAGAAACAAAACTGAAAAAATATTTACAACTGAAGGTTTTAAAAAGGAATCATACTATTTAATGCTAGTATAACTAATATCGAAAGAAAGTCGTCGGCATTGGCACTATTGATAATATATAAGGTACCAGCTCTCGTTTGCAAAATATAATTAGACTGAAGAAAATAAATTCTTCATCATTAGTTAGAGGTTTTTACTTTTTTTTATAAGATTTCGTTTTACACAAATAGACATTCGTTACTTATAATCGCCTTAGTGAACTTTCTTATGATGCGCACATGAAAAACATGATCATCCAGAGCAAGAATGTCATGCACTATTAATAGATTTTGAGTTCTAAACAGGTCAAGCATAAAAGAAAAAAATGTTCGCCTAGAGTAGTATATGATGAATATTCGTAGATACAATACAAATAAAACTATGTGTAGCTAATAATTCAAAAAATAATAATAATATTCCGCATTTGCTTTTCAATTGGTGTCAAATGACTTGTTTCACAAATTATTTGTAAAATTCTCTTTTCGTTACTTAACTGTTCTTCTTGAAATGAGTATAAAGAAGCAAGTGAAACACTTTTCGTGTTTAATTACTTGTTTGTTTATGAAATATAACTCTAGTCAAATAACACAAAAAAACAATTCTGAAGAATTGCAAGTATAAAGATACAATAATGTACAGTGAATCGATAAAAATATTACTAAAAAATTTAGAAAACTAGTCCCAATGGCATAAACATGATTGTATAATTCATCATAATTTTGTATTTATTAAGTCAATGATAAACTACACTTTTATGTTTCTTACATTTCTTTGTGAATTGTAGAATTAGACCTACTTCATTTAAAATTTTTCTTGGAGCATCATCAAAGATTGAAACCTTGTTCTGTCTTCTTAAAACTAGAATTTCAGATTTGAAATGAAACATGAATCTCTCATCTTACGTGGAAAAACCTTTATAAATTGACTACTCGAATCATAGAATTCAACGAATATTTTGCTAAAAATTTATAATTTATCGAAAGAGATAAAACAATGAAGTGCATTAGAAAATATTTTCTGCAAATACGAAATCAAATGTTGTAATTTACAGAAAAAAAAGTAAAAGTACTGTTCTTAAAATGATATTAAAAATATTCTTATTTTTAAAGAGAATCATTTCTGGAAATTATCTTGGAAAAAACATTGATTTATAACATATTTTGTAGGACTTTCGAAGTAAATGAGATGATATATTTCAAAAGTTTTAGTTTACATATTGAGGGCGTGAATATAAGAAGATTGAAACATTAAAATAATAAATCCTCGATAAGTAGATGAATCTCAATAGTCTTTGTGATTTATTTGCGAACTTCTTGAATGAACAGATTCATAATAATTTAAAATTGAAATAAATTTCTAACCTAAGACAGATGAAAATATTTCAATTACTTGATGTATTTTGTGAAATGATTAGCGTGCCATTTGTACGCCAGTATGAGCTACGCAATCAAAAAACTATTTCGAGGCTTAGAAATTTCTAGGATAATTTCTTGTAGAATTTCATGCATTGAAGGTGGGTGAGAAGTAAAATTGACAATAAAAATGGATCGTATCATGGCAAAATAAGATGATGAGAAACAGAAATAGATAGGACGGAGAGACTATCACTCCGACATTCGCTACTGCGTATGTAAGACTTCAATATCAGTGAGTCGAATTGGATCCATCAATTAAATATGTTCACATTGAACGCCAATATTAAGCGTAAGAAAATGCGAAGAATGTATAACAAGCAAAGATGGTTGAAATAGAATATGAATCTCTTAAAGATATTTCAAAGAAAATAAAGCTTTTTTTCTGTAGTTTCCTATGATTTACGTGTATACTATGCTTTTTTATACCTTAATTTCGATACAACTACCAATGCCAACACATCTGAATGTAGCAAGAAACTAGCATGAAACATGCTTGTCAAAAATTAAAGTTAGATCAAATTTAAAACTTTTCTTTTTCCATATAACAGATAAATTCATTTGACTTGATCAAAAAGAATTCAAAATGTGGCAGTTCAAAATTTAGTAAAGTTGATCCTCAAAAAACCCCAATGATCTCAGTTCTTTTTACAATGATGTACTTTTAAATTGTCTGGTTCTTTTGTAATTGCTATTGTTTTGTTCTTGATTTTTTCATTGCTATAAGCATAATTATATGCATCGTTTCGAGCAATTAATAAATTATATAAATTCATCATTAGTTTATTAATATTCTATTTCTAGTAAAACTTCTTAGCGTGGACGTGAATGAGTAACCTTATTTTCTCTGTTTATGGTTCATTTCCGCATTTTATTAAATAATAAAAATCATCCGCCATAAATATATGTTTACGAATGGAAGACTACTTTTATAAAAAAAGAAAAACAGTGATACCGATTAAATGCTCTAACTAATTATTTTAATGTATTCGAACACCTTGACGAATCAGCTCATTTTGAACTAATTCAATATCTACTTGACTTGTTGTAACACCTTGTCTTAACGATATGGCTGCAGCAACACCTGCTCCTTGCCCGGTGACTGTACAAGCAGCCATATTTCTCATCGCTGCATGAGATGTTTTATCGCCACCAACACATCTTCCAGCAACTAAAAGATTATCGATTTCCAATGGTAATAAGCATCCATATGGTACTTCAAAATAGCGGCCACTTGTTGGAAGAATAATAATATTATATCCATCAATGAATTCTGGGAATATACCAATACTATCGTAAAATTTTGCTTGATTTTTGACATCGTCTCCAGTTAAATTATAGCAAGCAATAATTTTTCGTGAATCACGACAACCAAGTGTCATACCGAAATTTCTTAATTTCGCTTTTTCAAAACCAGGAACAATATGTTTTAACGCCAATATTGCATGTAAAGTTTCTTTTCTTCCTTCCATTTCAGCTTTTGTTAAATCCATGACGTTAGTACAATCATAATTTGTCATGTAGACTAAATTAAGATTGGTTGCTTCACCAGCATCTGTTAATGATGACCATGATCCACCGATAGGGGATGTTTTTGGAATAATACCAAGATCTTTGGCTTTTTGAAATTCTTTTTCTAAATACGGAGTTCTTAATTGATCTTCCTTTCCAGATGTTTCTTGCGTCCAAAGACCGCCCCAATCAGCATAAGTAGCTGGATTATCTTCAGTATATTGTAGAAATCGTTCTTTATTAACATTTGAACACGAAAATATTGTACTAACTCCTAACATTTCATCCTTAGGAGTTTTACGATAACTACATCCCGCTAAATATGCAATATCTGCATCTCCGGTACAATCGATTACTCTTTTCGCTCGTATTGCTAATCGACCTGATTTACTTTCGGTAATGATTCCAATAATTTGATTATTTTCTAACATAACTTCGACTGCTGAACAATGTAAAATCGGTCGCACTCCAGCTTCAGTTAGAAGATGATCTGCAACAATTTTGAAATAATCAGCATCTAAACATTCACTATCATTGTAAGGCCATTTAATTGTTCCTCCCATTTTCGCTGCAATTCTTTCCATTTCAATTCCGATGCCCCCTTGAGATTCAACAGTACCTTCATATCTATACCATCCGATTGTTTCCATACCAACCGTTGTAATCACTCCTCCAAAACAGCCAAATTTTTCTAACAGTATAGTATCAGCTCCGGTTCGTTTGGCTGCTAAAGCAGCTGATATTCCCGATGGTCCACCGCCCACAACAAGTACTTCACATTCAGTTAATATTGGCGTTATTTTCGGTGTTTCATTATAAAATGTTGAATAATCTTGATCAACAGAATTTCTATTGAGAATCATTTCATTTGTTGGATTTTTTCGATCAACTTGTTGCTGTTTTCCACTCCATCGATCAATCATACGTTCGGCACGCTTAACATATTTTTCCTTTGTTTCTACAATGTCTTCTGTTATTTTGTTCGTATTGTTGTTCTTATATTTAAGAAATATATATTTAATAAAGAATAACGAAATAATAATAGCCAATATAATTAAAGTGAAAGTTATAACATGGATTTTGATAACTATATCATTTTTATATTCAATTACTGAACTGGTGTGCAATAGATAATAACATACGACTGATAACAATAAAATACTTATTGCTACTTTATATTTTTCCATCTACTTGAATAACTTTGATTGGAAGTTTTTACTGTATTGAATAATGTGTTGGTTAGATTAATGAAATTAGTTTCTTTTTGCAAGAATGATAAAACAAACGATAACTTCATATTTTTATTTTTAAAAGATTGCAACATTTAAAGATAACAAGATATCCAAAATAAATATCACTCGTAAGACTATACACCATAGCACGAACAGCAATAGCCATATCATGTACTCAGAAAAGAAATACGTTTGTAGAGATTGATGCAAATGATTGTAATTCGTAATCGATTCTCGGATTTTTGTCGATTTCTTTTGAAATTGATGAATAGCATAAATTTTATTATCCTTTTTTTATATATGTTCACATGAGTGTGTGTCCTCTCAATGATTAATACAAAGACAAATAGCAGCTGTATCGGCTAGGATAGGAAGAAACAAGAGACGAGAACGCTAAATAGAATATTTTATCAAGTTTTCAAAAAGAAATATTGTGAAAATTATATTGGCCTAGTTGTTTCTTCAAGAAACCGACCACTACATTGTTATAGCTGTCAAAATGTTTCTTTCACTAATTAATCTTATGGGATGGCTCATGTATCTCATCAACTTCAACTATGTTGTTCTCCATATCCATAACTATTGCCGTGCATAGCATTTATTTAAGCTGGCTGTTGTGACCTTTCACAATTTCGCATGTAATGCATTCTGATTACTTCAATGCTATTGAATAATGTCGATACGAATTACCCATCTGATAGTCTTCGTGTCTAACAATGTGAAAAATGTTTCGCTGTTTCATTTTCAAAGTATTTTGAATTCGTTTTTTAATCATTCTTTGTGAATCAACTAAGAAAATATAACTGATCATTTTTTATTTTATTTTGAGCAGTATAAAATTGATCATCAATCATTGAATAGTGTGATAGCGTGTTTATTGTGAGTATAGAAGTAACTATGCAAGTATGATTATGTTGTAATTATATGAGAGTTGTAACAATCATCGGTGAAAACTCTTCCAAATTTGATAATCATTACACAAAAAAAGGAAAAGATAAAATAGATGAATAAGGAAGTTGCAAAATACGAGAAAAATCTAGTTTTGAAAATGACTTCATTTTAAATCAAGTATCAAAGGAAATTTCATCTTTTCAAAAAGAAGAAGTTTACAGAAATCATTGAAAAATTCGAAAAATGTGAATCAAGTGTGTCTTTTGTGGATATTTTGTCAAAGATTTATATGTATACGCGTATATATAATGTGGAAAGAAAACGTTTTATTTATGTATACATTGAAAAATGAACATTCATTTACGATTGATTTGCACTGTTTATTTTATTTGACACGAATGCTTACTAATGTGACCTTGAAGTATGTATCCCTGCCTTGTCGTCCATTGTTCATTTGTTCTAATTTTAGTTCTATCATCTCGAATATATTGCAATCTTTCAATATTCTATGAGCTAGACGTTCCCATAAAGAACATCAACGGCAACTAAGATAAACTCTGCGGTGAAATGTAATCTTAGTTTTTCAAAATTAAAACATAAGATAGAACACGTCTAGAACCGATGCCAATAAAATCGTGTCCACCCACAGTTTAGTAAGCAATCCTATTAAGACGCAAGAACTGTTTCATCTGAGCTCCTTCTATATACGCTTTCGATAGGTGGGATTTGCGCACACATGAAACTCAATCTGACCTAATTTTGAGTAAAACAAATAGTTACATGGGTGTATTTTAATTAGTCAACTAGAAATAGAAATGCGCGTAATTGTGAAGAATGAAAAGTTATAAATATTGCACACGTCAGGAAGAAAATATCTGCTTGATCAAACTTGCAGAGAACGATACATTTTCATAATGTAAATATGAGTCATTCAGTTAATTATAGGTTTGCTTTTCAACATCGTCATTCTGATATGTTATCAGTTGCGTCAGGTATACATACATCCGAAGCAATCCATGTTATCAAATCAATCCTAAGAGTAATTATAAAATTTTTATATGAATGAGAGAACAGTATTTACAAATATGCAATGAAATGTATCAAAAAGAAACATGGAACAAGAACGATTTGTGCGTCGCACAATCATCATCATAGATACATCAACAACAACAATATCAAAAAGATGCATATTTTTTGGCTTGATGCTACGATAAACACATCTTCACACAGCATCACAGTTCAATCGAAAGTTCGATCTATCATTTCTCATCTTCAAGCATTCGATGATATTGATAAATGTGAAAGAATAATTCGATCACTACCTACAGGCGAACAACTCATATTGATTGTAAGCGGAAGTTTTGGCCGAGAGATCGTTCCACGTATTCATGACCTGCCACAAATATCAGCAGTTTATATTTATTGTATGAACAGCAAGATCAATAAGAAATGGAGCGATCCATTCGATAAAGTCAAATTGGTTACAGCGAATATTGACAAAATCTTTGCCCAGTTACGTCTCCGACAAAGGCGACGCCTCCTACACGATGAGCCAATTTCTTTTTCTATTTCGGATCGATCGATAGGAGCAATTGATGGCAAATTTCTGCATTTCCAACTTATTGATATTCTGATTGGAATAGCGTCGTCGAATACGGGAATAGATGAATTCTTATCTCATATGCAATCAAAATATCAGAAAGATACCAATCAGCAGTCGATTCTTCAGGAATTCAAGAGTGACTATCGACCAGATAGAGCGTTATGGTAGTATTCAAGACAATCGTGTATATACAAAGTGTTAAACAAAGCCTTTCGTGTTCAAGATCCAGATTTTTGTTTCACTTTCGGTTCTTTATACGTGATTTACAACAACAACTTCAACAGCACCAATGTAAATCACTAATACGTGTGTACCGAGGCCAATCGATGTCGTCTGATGAATTAAAAGAGTTGAAAATGTCGATTGGAGAATTAATCTCAGTTAACTCGTTTCTCTCGAACAAGAAATAGCTATTGGTTTTCTCACAGAATCAGATAAACTTCAGCAAGTATTATTTGAGATTGACGCCGATCCTCATCTAATAACAACGAAACCATTCGCTAACATTCATAAATTTAGCTATTTTGAAGATGAAGATGAGATATTGTTTATGCCGGGATCGATCTTTCATATTAATACTGTTCGTCAAAATAATGATGGAGTGTGGATATTTCAGCTCGTATTGTGTTCAGACAAAAATCACAATCTTAAGGCTCTCTGTGAGTATATGCATGACGAACTCTGTAAAGGAAATTTAAATCTTCTTTCCTATGGTAATGTGTTACGACTAATGAGTAAATTCGATCATGCTGAAAAATTCTAGCATCGTTATTTGAATGGAATCTCACATCATCATCATCCAAGTGTCGCTGATTGCTGTAATAGTCTCGGCTTGGTAACACACGATAAAGGAATGCACGAGCAAAGTCTCATATGGTTTCATAAAGCATTGGATATTTACAAACAACTACAAAATCAAACTTTGATGGCAGATACTATTAGCAATATTGCACTTGTTTATTTCGGCAAAGAAGATTATCAACAGGCAATTGTCGCGTACAATGAAGCATTAGCAATTTGTATTAAAGAGTTCGGCATTGATCATGAGAAAGTCGCTAAGTGTTACGACGGAATAGGTGCTGTGAATGGTAAAGTAAATAGATATTCTGAGGCACTTGCATTCAAAAAGATGGCATTAGCTATTAGAGAGAAACATCTTCCTGCTGATCATCCTGACTTAGGCCAATCAAATACATGTATTGGTACTACTTACATGTCTCTAGGAGATTTCGAGTCTGCAATGTGGCATTATAATAAATCGATTCAGATCTACGAAAAATCAATTCCATCTGATCATCCCCGTTTTGCGATGACATTCAAGCAGATGGGGAACACATACGAAAACATGGGTGATTTGAAGAAAGCAAAGTATTATTGCAAGAAAGCAGCTGCGATTTATCATCGCTTATTTCGTTCAAATAACGTAGATGCGATGGATATTGAGGAAAGGATCAAAAGAGTATCCAAATAGATATTTATTTTGAATAAGCCACATAAGAAAGGATCGAAATTTGATTGATCGAAATATGTAACTGTGCGAACAGTAAAATTATTTTGTTGTCGAAAAAATACCATCATAATAGACAGTTCAAGTACACATTTTTACCTGAGATTCCGATGCTGAAGATTGTTCACTGATTCATGAGTCGACTATTTGAAATAGAAATATTCTTGGAGATTCATGATGAAAGTGACAAACCAATCTAAAATGTAGATATTACCAATCTCGTTTTGTACACATCTTATGTTATTGTAGTAGGATTGAAAAATTTTTTAAAAACTATCTTTTAGTATATTTTACTAATGCATTCCTGAACTCCTCCAACCATGTAAAATGCTAATATTCAAAAGTGTATATCCTAACGATGATGACTATTGACAGGCCGATTTTTATAACATTATTTTTGCCTTTCTACGTTTATATATGTAATCATGCGATGTAAGAAAAATAACTTTGTAACTTTGAAAAGGAGTAACAATGTAGTTAAAATCAATATTCAATAAATCGCCGATTTTACAAAAGCAGCTATGAAATTAAAGACGTATGCTAGTATTAGTATTTGTTAGTGATGTTCACTTCACAATCATTGATTTGGATTAAAAAATAGTCAACCCATGTAAAACAAAATCGTAAAAAATCTGATTATAATTGTTTTTTATGCGATTAGAAATCCATTTTAATGGCACTATTATAATCTGATTTTTACCACACTTTTCAACCTTAAAAGGCAGATTATTTTTGATTTTGATTTCATTTTAATCAATTTTAATTGATTACCTACAAAACTATTACAATCGATTAAAATAAAATCAAAATCAAAAATAATCTGTCGTTTAAGGTTGAAAAATCTGATTAAAATCAGATAAAAATAGTGCCATTATAATAGATTTTTAATCTGATCATTAATTCAATTTTTTTACATGGGAATAAATCTCAATGCTACATTCAATAAATAAAGATATTCAAAAATCAATTTTTACGACTTAGCTATTATCTAAACTTATAGTACTGCTCTTACCTCACAGCATAAATCCTTTTCTTAAATTATTTGATCACATAGCGCAAAAAGCAATTCTATCAATCAATTTAGCATCATAAATTCAACATCTATCCTAATCATCAACTTAAAATTAATGTTAATGGTGCTTATTTGGCTTGATCTATGTCACTGTAACATAATAATTAAAAAATTGAGAATTTATAAAAACTAGACCAAAATAAGCAACAAAATGATACTAGCATTATTCTTGTTGATGCATAATAAAAATAGAAATTCATCTACATGCTGCCATGCCCAGATCCGATGGGCTTCAACTGAACATGCACACTCACGAACACAAATAACTCACTTCGCATATGAGCCCTCTTTTAGCAGAGAAAATAGTATGAAAAAGGAAGCCCTTCAGGTGTGACCATTTCATACCGTATCACTCCAAACAAATCTCACAGAGTTCTTATATCAACGATAATTGCACACTCGCTGTTTGTTGCAGAATGGAAACGATTTCTAATTTTATTGTGCAGTGTTATATGCACACGTAATGAAATTTTATATATTGCAAAAAAGTTAGCATATGGTCAATGTTTATTTATTTTCTGCTCTTTTGACTAATAATAATAGTAAAAATTTCTCGTTATTGATGGGTGTTTCCTTTTCTGACACTTCTCTAATCAAACACAGAGGCATAACTTGGTTTCTGATTTCGCGCGAGTTTCTCGCTATATGCTTTTTTTCTCTCTATCGTCTTCATCGCTGTTTCTTTGTCGCGTTTGAAATTGAATTATGTTATGTTTGGCGCATCTAGTTAGTTGATACATCCCAGGACGATTGATCCGACAGTTGGACCCTATCGGATCCTATTGGTCAGTTTCACCCTGAGATTTTGTTCTGTCTATGAGAGTGTGAAAATTATTACGAGAGCTTAAAGATATATATAATACATTATGTGATTCTATCTAAAATATCAACTATTAAAAGAATCATTATTCATTTTTAATCTTAATAATTATATGAAACTAACATTGCCGAATTAACTAAACATCGCACCCCCGTCAGGGATGGTCTGATCAAGAATGACAATTGTTTCGATAACTCAGCCATTTCTTGACGGATCCTTCTCATCTTCGAACTCGACCGAGATATTGATGAGACAATTCTGTGCATAAAATTTCTGCTCAATCGAATGTAATTGTGAAGAGTTATCGAATAAACGGACGGACGGCCCCGGACACACTGACCGATTCTATCGTGTACTCGTTTTTTTTTGAGTTCACAAAAACCATCAATTAATAGCGCCCTATTCTAATATATCCGAACTATTTCTTTCTTGCATAACTGAGGGAATAGATGGTGAATAATATTTTTCGTTCCAAAAATGAATAGATTATTAACATTGAATTGTGCATTTTAATCCCAGAATAATTTCACTGGCAATTCTTTTACTTGAGACGACCATTCTCGATTAAAATTTTATTCAATTGGTGAATAGAATTAAAATCCAAGCAATCGGAAGACTTTGATTGATTGAAATTATGATTTTTCAGTTTGTACAGAGAAACGAGTAAGGAGCACCCATACCGATTCTGTAATTGAGTTTTTTTTCTGCAACTTGTTTTTCTGCTACTTGATGTAAAACAAGGTAATATTTTACGGGACAAAATTTAATGATTGGCATCGCAAGATGAAGGTTTTACTTTGAGGGGGAAGAAAATACACAACATCAAATAATTGATTTTTATTATGTTTGAAGAAAATTTTGTCTCATGCAATTTATTTTGACAATGTCTAAATGTTATTCTTGTTTTCTTTTCTTTCTAATCGAATTTGTGAGTTTATGCCAATTGATGCATAGACATGAAAGTAAAAGAATAAATTCTGTTGTTAATTACATACGTAAAACAACAAATAAAATTTGTTTCTGCCTTTGCTGCGTTCTTTTTTTCTTTATGAAAACGATGCTTACTAGTAAATAGATGACAGATCAAACAAATTAATAGGGATCCAGTAGAGTTTCATTTATTTTCAATTTCAGTTCAAAGTTGATTTGAAGAGAGACAGAGAAAGAAAGAAATCTAAATTCCATTTTACTGTTGATTGTCTTTTTTTTTCGTCTACTCTATGGTTCCTTACGTTAACTTACTCAGTTTTATTTATTCGTTGTTTGTACGCATGTTTCTAGAGAATCATACTTTTTTTTTGCGTCAGCAATAACAGAAATAGACCAGCTGAGTGATTAGGAAAAACCAACATGGCCGATTATGAATATTATTATGAGCAATATCGTCGTGCGACAAGAAGTCCAACAACTCCTCAACGAGATTTAGTTGATTTTCATTCAACAGTATCTTCATCGACCTATCATGTTTGGTCTGGCGTTATGAAACGACCTATTACAACAACTTATATTGACGGCAATGCTTTGCTAGGTCTTACTGAACGTCCAAATACTGTCAAAGGCTCATTTCCAAAAGGAAAAAGTCGACGAAAGCCTACTGTAACAATTGAAAAAAAAGTAGTGAGTATTTAATAGAATTTTTCAATAGAATAGTTTGTCGGTTTGTTTATTTTCGTTAAGAATACGGGTGATGCTTTCATATCCTTGGTACCGGTTGATAAGATAAATCTAGATCTAGCTACAGTTCGATCAGAAAAAACTCGATCACCTCTGTCAATGGCAACGGTACCGCAATCTGCAACTGCACGTGATATACGACAAAGAAGTGCTGATACTCGAAGCACGCGAATATATAGCGCTGCTACGACTATGTTTGACGATGAGAAAAGTGAAGCAAAATTTTATGGGCGCTGTGCAACATCACACACAAATAGTGCCTGGGTTCAACGATATAAATCAATAAATGAATCACAAGCACTCACAGATCTACTACGTGATCAAACATTTAAAGATAAAATTTTACTTAAAAAGCTACCAGCTCAGTACTTATTTCATTCAGCGTCGACAGCATCAGGATTTACTTCTGCATTCGTTAGACGTAAACGAGTAAAATGTTGATCGAGATTATATATTTACACTGCGAAAACAAAAGATACTAACTCCGATCGTGTTTGTTTTCTTCTTATCAATGCAAAATTTTCCGTTGAAGAAGTATTGTTTTATTTTACGTAGAACGTTGAAATTTTTTTTTCTGTTTAAAGAAATCTCTGAGTTTTATGAAGTTTAATCTTGTCAATGTACATAGTTTATAATTAATGGTTTAATACGTGAGTGAACCAGTTATATGCATCATTATTATATTAATTTCATGTAATATTTCTATTTTACTAATCCTAATTAACAACAAATTTTTATCTAATTTGGATTTATCGAAAACAAAAAACACTACACGATGGTAACCAGTGATCTCAAATGCTGATCTTTTGTTTTTATTTTTATTTATTAAATCAGTCATTTGATTCATTTACAATGGCATCAATCAGGAATTTGTATCTTTAATTCATTATACGAATTCGATCAGGCACATGAGCACAACCAAACACGTGAGGTAAAATGTTGAGATGATTTTTGAAATATACGGATTTCGTATATTAAAATTATAATCCTTAGTGAATACATATATATATTTATTCATTTGAAACAAGGGAGAGAAAACAAATAGAGATATCAGTCTCAAGTTTTTTACTTTCTTCATTATCGATCTTTGAGTCAATGCGTATAGAAATCATTGTGAAGCAATTCGGAAGAGCAAAACATATTAAACAGCCGGATGAGGAAGTTTCCTTTGCCAGCTTTAGCTGATTATCTGAAATGACAAGATTTTTATTAGGAAATCTAATCCCATTCTGTCAAAAGTCTCTTCATGCTCTTAGTGTGATTTGTATGTATTGACTTAGCGATGGCTTACATCTTAATTTTGTTGCACATTAATCTTATTTCTAATCGTTTAGCCTAGAAAAAAATTTATTATTCAATGCAGCATATAAATAAACTGTTCTCGGAGAACAAAGCAAAGTAGTCTTTTTGATTGAATCTGTCAAATAAGCAGATGGGATGATGTTCTACAGAACTTTGTCGAATATTTGAAAAAAAAGAACATCATCAGGTGTGTGTTATTTATTTCTCGGAAGAGAATTTAATTGAGTGAATGTATGAGTGATCGAGCCAATCTGAAAATCTGTATAATAGAAGCGATGTCAGCTCTTTTCAGTTTAAATTGTGATCAATTTTATGGATTCCATTAAAAAAATAAAACTACAAGATTGATAATATAAAAAAAGATTTATTTTTCTTTATCGATGTTTTTTCAAACAAGCAACATTTATTTCTAGTTTGCAGCGCGGTAAAAAAATGCCTGTCAACTTCTTATTAAACATCAATAAGGAAACAGAATAGTGAGAGATAGTAGAATTTTTTTTCTAGACTTACAATTGTTGTTTTGGTAACTAGTTTTAGGATATATTAGATATCATTTGACTATTTTATGGCTAGAATTTCAAGTAAATTTATATTCAATCAAGCGCCGGTGTTTATAGTCTTAGGCCCGACAGACACTAAAATAAGAAATAAACTTTCAATACCCTAGAAAATGGAAATATGCGATAAAATTTCTAAATTATATGAACAAGTATGTCACTCACAAATTGAAAAACCTTAGATAGATTTGGACGATCAAATTGCTCATGAGCAAATCTTTTCAAAATCATCTAGAGGATGTTCATGGCTTTTGAACGTCGCTCTTTTTCAATGATATTTGCTCATGAAAATAAACTAGAAAAGAAGAAATTACGATTATTCAGCATCGTATATTTATAATGAATATTGGGTGATGAAACTGAAATAGAAGCATCAACAGCTGTTACAAATATGATGGAAATTTGCTGAGAACAAATAAATCCTAGCAACATCTAATGGTACAAAACAAGCAATTAATTTTTCTATCAAGTCTTCTTTCCTAAACTTTCTCGTTCATTAGCCGTCGTCTCCCTACAACTTCACTATGGATACTTATTTTGTCAACTGTTATTTGTCTATTCTCTACAACCAAGAACTCCTGTTGTTCAAGTCTTTTCGCCATTTTTCTGTTTGCATTGAAAGCTTATTTGTGAACGTCCACGAGCAATGTTATGAAATTCATGTTTTCAAGATAGCAACTAAAACAGAAGACGAATAAATTAGAGAGAAGGTTCATGGGAGCTCTAATTTTTGCATCTTAGAAAAAAACCAGAAAACTTTGATAAAAAGCTTGGATATAGTACCTGTAAAAGTCACATCATGTTTTTAGCAACAATTATTTTGAACGTTTAGTTTGATCGAACAGAGACAAGCTCGATATAAATTATCTAGTATAGTTAATTATTGGCACGGAATTAGAAATTCGTTGGACATCATGTTATATTTATGATCAGAGGACACATTAAATAGCATTTGACTTCATAAGGTGACACTTTTCGTTGATGTTGCTATTTAAATTGTCAAACTAGCATAAACCAGATGTAATTTCAATTTCTATAATAGAAATATAATTACCAAAATTGTTCAAACCTTCATTTATGTTCAAAAATAGATTTCATCAAGAAGAAAGCATTAACCGTATATTTTTGTGACAAACATTGAACGCGACAATCACCTGCATAATATCAAACAAACGTATTTGCCGATTTTATGTATTGAATGATTTATTGATCAACTGCATTTTCAATAACTTCTGCTATATTTTAGGAACATTCTTTTTAAGTATTGACTTAATTATTTCTTCTCAGCGAGTATAAATATGTCTTACTCATAATCAGTTTTTGATTGAATTCAAACAAAAATGTTAGTCTTGGTGCTGGTCATCATTTTTATTATGCTGAGCATAAGTGTCATACGAAACAAAGTAAGCCATTAATAGAAATAAAAGAAAATCTTAAAACGCTTGTATTTTATTTAGAAATCCAATGATAATGAAAACAAAACATCGCCGATGACGGTGCCTTATGGTCCTCGTTCATGGCCAATTTTTGGTAACATTCTTCAATTAGGTTACCGACCCTATGAAACATTATCCCGCTGGTCGAAAATGTCTAAATACGGTCCCATGTTTAGACTTCAACTTGGCTCGCAAACGGTTGTTGTACTCAATTCAGCGCCACTCATACGTGAAGCATTACATGGCCATAGCGAAACATTTGCTGGACGACCATATCTTCACATGATTCATGAAACATTGCATGGTAAAGGCGTTATATCGGCTCCATATGGTCGAGAATTTCACGAGCATAAAAATTTTCTTATAAAAAGTTTCAATCGATTCGGCCGTCGACGACGATCATCCTTGGAAAGCGGCTGTCTTGATCAAGTGCGTTTTCTCGCTGAAAAAATTCGTGAAAATCAATCGATACCATTTAGTATTGGCAATATGCTAAGTCAAATAGCATGCAATAATATTTGCAGGCTTACATTTGGTGGCTATTTTGAAACAATGAACATGAGTAATTTATTTGAAAAAATTAACGAGAATTTTAATCAAACAGCAACAATAGCATGCTTCAATTTTTTACCATTTACAAGAATGTTTCGAAAGAATATCTTTGCAAATGTCAACGATTGTAATCGTGTTATACAAAAATTAGTTGGAGAGCGTGAAAATAATTTTGACAATGAATTTATTACCAATATAGTGGATGCATATTTGGATGAAATGACCGGAAATCGACAACAAAGTACTTATTTCTCAAAAGAAAATCTTGATGCACTTGTGCAAGATCTATTTGTTGCTGGTACAGAAACCATATCGAATACGTTGAATTGGGCCATTTTTTATATTGTTGCACATCCAACTATACAAAAAAATATTCATGAAGAAATCGATCATGTCATTGGCAAAGACCGACCACCATGCAATAGTGACCGTTCTCGAATGGCTTATATTGAAGCTGTTTTACTTGAATCTATGCGTTGTCATTGTGCTGGTCCCATATTACTTCCACGAGCAACAACACAAGATATCACTTTTCATGGTCATTTTATTCCAAAAGATACATTTATACTTGTTAATATGTGGTCAGCAATGAAAGATGAACAGTATTGGCCAGAACCAGAAAAATTCGATCCGGAACGATTTCTAGATGAGAATCGTCAATTACGTAATGTTAATCATCCTGCTATGATGCCATTTAGTGTGGGAAAACGTGCTTGCACAGGTAGAAATTCATAATTTTTTTCTAAAAACACAAAACATTTTGTTTTTCGTTTTTATAGGCGAACAAATTGCAAAAATTCAATTATTTCTGGTATTGGTCAGTCTATTTCAAAAATTCGAATTTCGTTTTGCAAATGGCTGGATTCCCAACGATCTTCGTGGTCAACCTGGTATTACCCTCCGTCCACCAAAATGCCAATATGAAGCTTTTGTCCGTTGAATACCTATCAAACAGAAAATAACCTTTTCAATTGTATCCTCCTGTATGCTTCTTTATTTAGTTTTTGACGTCTCTACTAGAGACTGTCAAAGGGCACTTCTTCCTTGCCTTGAGGGCAGGAGAAAGCAATAGATGCATTGCCCTGATTACTTTTTTTTCTGTACAAAGTCGTATAAGAGGTTTTTCACTTCAGTCAATTGTGTTTATATTGCGATCAAAAAAATAAATGTGATTGTACTCTGATCAGTAGGATGTTTGCCATTACATCTCATTGCACAAATATTCTTTTTGATATAGATTACTCTTGAATTATGAAACTTTATTGTGCTTTCTGCTTCAATCAAACAATTTTTGTATAACTTTGCTTTCTTGGTATCTAATGGTTTCGACTAGTCGTTAGTTCTTGATTTGTTTTTGTATAGCTTGATGGTACTCCCCAAATATGTACTATATAAAATTTTCCGGCTCAAACATGCACTTCATGTCATAAATAAGTCTATGAGTAATTTAAGGTATTAAATTATGCCCATTTAACAAGCACTACATATGTGATACATTTATCGGAGACTTAGAATATGGCATAAAATACAAAGGGGAAAGGCGGATTCCGGGATTCCGGTGGGAATTCGGGAATCCCTGGAAGCCCATGAATTTTCGGAATTTTTATAATAGCAAATGATATTCCAGAAATTCATATTTAACTTCTACGATCATCACTCAAGTCCTGAAAATCTGATAGAACTTAGTGTCAAGGGTTCATTGCTTTATCAAATGGCTTGAAAAGCTGCACACAACTATTGAGGAAAATCATTTCCTAGGCGAACTTTTTTTTCATATGCTTGATCTGTTCAGATATCAAGATTTGTCCAGAGCACACGACACTCTTGCTCCTAATGCTCATGTATTTCATACGCATACGCCAAGGTAGTTCACTAGGGTTATCTATTTTAAAATTCTAGGCGTTTAACCTAATTAGATGGGTACCAAGTTCATTTTGGCAACGCGACAGTTTACTTTCTTATTTTTAAGAGAAAACGTTCGAGGTAGAATAACAAACAGCAGCAAGCAATAAGATAAATCAATGAGATACAAGAAATATGTTGAATCAAATGAATCTATGGCATCTTATATGCAACTTTTTGTTCGTTCCGTAATCTGACAGTTGAACATGCTTAAAGCAATCAGGTAGCAGCACAGCCTTTCTGGCGACTAAAAGATAAGAGGCTCTATCTATGACTGTATTGTTTTTGGCATTAATTCTGACACAAAAAAAAATAGTTTGAAAGTGAAGAAGAAGTTGGTTCGGAGACTCTTATTGTATGAAACTGAGATTTATCGCTAGTTGACAAACAAGACAAATTATAAATTTTGTCTTAGGATCAGCTATATTTTTCTGATTTGGATATAAAAAAGCAACATTATATTTAAAATACTCGTTTAACTCTCGATCTAATGACTTGTAATGATTTTCGTCAGATTAGACAATACGGTTTTTTCTACACTAGATTAGTATATCTGATCTATTTTGTTTTATCACAGATTCTCTTGTTTTCTTCTAAACAAAATTAAAATCAAATCTGGAAAGAAGATTATAGGCTCGATTGCAAACTTGACAAATAGTCTTTTTAAAATTATCACAAACGAGAAGATGATGAGATCATTTTGAAGCTGATTGTTTCGAAACCATCTTTTTCCTATCTTGTGTGACATTTTTGAAAACTTTAATAAAAAGTTCAACACACTGCTCTTGGGTAGGAACAAAACAGATTCTACATGCGCTAGAATGTCTGAACTTCGCCCGGATATTCAAGATCTTCATCGAGTTCCGCATCTCTATCCTTTTTGTTTTCTAGCTGTCTGCCTTTTTTTCGAAGATTCAATTATTGGCTCTAAGCCTGCTTTGAATTGCGAAAGTCAAGGGATATTTATTGTTCCACAGAAGAAAAATAGTCCAGTAATCGCTAAGTTCAGACAAATTTTTTCATAAGATATGCATCAATACTAGAGACAAAAAAGCTCTTGTTTTATTTTCCTTTGCCCGTGAAAGGACAGTAAAAATCAAAGTAATATCGATCAGAACCAACCCGTTACATTTTCTCATTAATCATGTCTATTTTATTAAACAAGCCGGATAATGAACTAATATAAGCTCATCGGTTAGTATAATGTTCCAATCGTTTGGTAAAAAGTCAATAAATTATTTACCCGTTTTTTTTTTGTATTAATATTGACGGATAAATCATTATTGATCAGTCTAGGAAGAATAGTGTTGATCGCAGAACTACGCCTTACTAAGTATTGAATAGAATGAAAGGACCGCAAGTTCGTCTTCGGAGCTAGTCCCTTAGTTCAATCGCACCTATATATGTTATGTCAAATTTTAAGTTGCAGTCCGATTCATCCTTCTATGAATCAATATGAGCGTTATTCTACAAAATGTTTGAGATCTCTCATCTAATTGAACTGTATAAATAATCATACTAGATGTCACGATTAAGATCACATTATTTCGTTAGAAATCAGTAGCTTCTATACCCCCAAAACGTTCAGTTTACGATATCGACGAGGGTGATGATCTACGTCATTTTTGTCCATCCCCACGAAATATTCACATCCACACCCTTATTTTTCATACCACTACGTGGTTATCTTAAAGGAACGGGTTTCAAAATATAAAATGAGCGAATTGATATTTGTTATGCATAAGCACGAGTTATGATTTCAGTGTTGTTCAGACATAATTTAAGTATTCCTTGGATATTCATTGGATTCCCTGGATTTCTATTTGGTTCCAGGATTCCCATGGGATTCGAAATCTCGAGAACCCGCCAATTCCCCCTTGAGTTGCATCATAATTGAAAGACTTCGACTTTTTTCTTAGATTTCACTCTACATACGAATTGCTTTTTTTTATTTATATGTATTAACTAGAATAGTTCAATAATACGCCGTGAAGACAATTTTTTCAGAACTTTTGCGCATAGGGCTGCATTATAATTCGTCTCGACTGAAGACACCCATGTCACCAAAATCACGACTATTTTCGCGACATGCGCAGGCGTCTTACTAAATTTTCTAAGCATGATAATTATATACATCATTCTGTTTTATGTATGCAATGTAGATATACATGCAATTCATACCATCAAACGCATAAACCAGATTCGTGTCATAAATCAACATGTTACAATTTGTTTTCTTCGGTGATGAGAATTACGAATTTCACAAGAATTTGTATTATACTTTTTACGACAGGAAGTCCTTGTTTCACAGCAGCTAGCTTATCTGTATAGTTTGTTTTGTAAATTGCTTCGATTGATACTTTTATTAATCCAGAATATAAATTATATTTTCTGGATTTCTCATGGGATTCCCAAGATTTTTGTGGGATTCGGAATCCTGCGAACTCGCCTTTTCCCCCTTGATAAAATATCTGATTGATTATTTGTTTAGAAGATGATTGCTCGCAGAACACATTCTGGCAGATGAAATTGAAATATCTACTAATGAAAGTGGTGATTATCTAGATTAATTAAAGACGCAGTAAAAATAAATGTTCTGGAAAAATAACTGTAGAAAACGCATTTGAGAATAATAAAAGTCTTGTTTATAAAGAAAAACAAAATATTTTCAGAAACTGAACAAAATGTTCTACTCAAATTATAAAACGGAATCGAAAACATTTATTTTCGAAAATTGATTTAGAAACCGGTGAAACAATTTCGAGTGTATAGGACGACGATTTCCTGACTTCTTATGGATGATATTGGCTCGTCTAAAACTAATATTTTAGCAGTTCGAAGATCCAGTTCTACAACAGTGATTCATAAAGGGTTTAAGAAAACTTTTCTTAAATAAAGTCAATGCCAATACATTCGGCAATGTTGATAGCACTGGCAGCTGCATTGATTTTGGCATACCATCGGACGTAAACAAATGCGATGTGAATACTTGACTTGAAAGTAGTCAACTAGGTTCCTTCGAGTGATCACTCTTGTAAAACATAGGTTCTACTCATAAGTACTTATTTTAGAGCAAAACCGAAAAAATATCTTTGTGATGATCTCCAGTCTAGAGCTCTGCATCATTGAACACTAGCAAACAACTGCTCGACACTTGGTGTAAAGCTCAAAATCTTTTCAATTGATAAACAAAGTAATCTATTAAAAAATCATTCGTATTATTGTCAACAACAATAAGCAATTGAGTATTGTAGAAGTTTGCAGTTTTTTGTTCGTATTTCATTTATTACTTTTTTTTTAATTAAAATTACAAATTAGTTCAGTTAGTTGTCTATTTAATTTTACTTCATTGAATAAATAAACTATTTGCCAGGCAAAACCAAAAAACCAATGATCTAGGGATGTATTTTTTTAAATTTTATTCAATATGATGGAAGGAGAGTAGAAAATAGAGAGATAGACAAATGTGCCAAATTAAACTAGAGAAATGAAATAACAGATAGAATAAACGAGCGGGTATTGTTTGAACAGATTACATTCAGATGACAAATCTAATATTTTCTTTGATTTGTTTTTCTTCAAAGAAAAAAACACGACTCCGGAGAAAAGTGACTGTCACTACTATTAAAAATGGCACAGTCCTAGACATTGTTCTAATTTATGCTTTGAATGAACTAACAAAATTTTGAACAATTTCCTTGAGTTTAGCATCCGTTTCAGCGGTAATTTCATTCTTTGAACGGACTGATTCAAGTATATCTTTGTGTTGTCCTTTCAAGTGTTGTAAGAATGCTTGTTCAAATTTAGTAATTTTTGATGGATCAACTTTATCTAAATGACCACGAACACCAGCATAGATTACACATACTTGCTCTTCAATAGCCATGGGTACTAAAATTTAGTTAACGTTAAGAAAAGAAAAACTTCAAAAGAAATAGATTTTGTTTTCTTCAACTTACCATATTGACCTTGTTTAAGTAATTCTGTAAGACGGACACCACGATTAAGTAATGATTGAGTAGCGGCATCAAGATCTGA